GCGTGGCACCTGTTACTACTAGCTTCTTGTTACTACTAGTAAGGCACTTGTTACGAACGTAGCGATGCACTTGTTACTAGTAATGAATTGGGAAGGATGTGGGCACCTGCCCTCTGGTTGCAGCGTCACGAGTGAGTCTCAACCGAGCCTTGCTCACGGCATCTGAATCCTCGCCATGGAGCCGGAGGAGGCTCAGGAACGTCTCATCGCAGTGCTGGCCCTCGGGTTGCAAGCCGCAGCCTTGGGACGAGGCATCTACCTGGCCTGGAAGTCTCGCAGCTGGTTCTGCGCAGGCGCAGCGAGCATCCGTGATGTTTTGTTCTTTTGGATGATTTGTTGAGTGAACTCGGTCTTGGATGTTTCACCCAGTTGAAGTGAAGAAGTCCCTTTTTTTGCGATCTGTTTGGGGTTCAGTTTCTCTGACGGTGCAGTTTCTCTGACACCGCGACACCCGATGCGCAAGACCGAATTCTCAGAGTTCGAAACCCGTCGCAGCGTCGTGACTACTAGCTTCTTGTTACTACTAGTAAGGCACTGAAGAAAACATGATTTTGCCAAAGAAAAGGGGGGTTTTCTACCTGGACATCATTCCGGAAAAGAAAAGGGATGAACCGCCGCACGTGTGAAGGTCCCCCTTCTAGAGAGCCCATGGCGGTTCGGGCAAACGCTCCCGGTTCGGTTCGGTGGCAAACGCCGGCTGTGTGCGGAGCCGTCACCGCTCAGTAGGCTCAAACCAAGTGCTCCTTCGTAAAGCGTCCGAACGCTCCGTTCGGTTCGCGATGCCAGGAGCCCCATGACGTCGTAGCGTCCGATCGCTCGGCTTGCTCCGTTCGTAAAATAAAGCTGTTCGCACGATGTGGTTCAGATGCCTTTCTACCAGTGATCTGGCATTCACACATGCTGCGCATGCTCGCACTTGTAGGTCTGAGGGGCATCGTCTCCAAAAGCAGAGATGCCTTCCGCACCTCCAGAGATGCCGATGAAGCGCAGCGGATCGAAAGTGAGGTCCGTCAGCGGAAGCTTCAGTTCGCACAGTGGCTTTTTGCAGCACTTCTTTGCTTGGCTCTGGTCATTCTTTACACCCTCCAGTGGAGATTGCGCCGGGGCTTCAGGAGCACAGAGATGCAGCGGATGGTGTTTTGGTGTGTTCTGGCGGGTGCAATGCCAATGACTCTACGCCTCTATGTGCCCCAAATGCTCTCAGCATCATCCCTCAATGGGTGGTACGTCTTCTCAATGATCCTTTGTTTCGTGTGTTTGACACCTCTGGGAACCAAAGCTCAGCAAGTGGTTGGATTCTCCTTCTTCTGGATCACCTTTCTTCGAGTGCCCGCCTCCAGCTTCGCCCCGCGCATGTCGCTGGTCTTGCTCTCGAACCTTGCCATTTCCATCCTCGTGTGCGTGCGCTACAGTGCCGTCACGCCCGCGAACGGCCGCGATGCCGCGCTCTTCATCGAAATTAGCGGCTCGGTCTTCGCGATCTTCGCCTGGCTGGCGGTGCAAGTGGCGCTGACCTCGAAGGTGGAGCAACAGATCGACCACACCAAACTGGCCACCGTGCCTTGGGAGCAAATGGCGACATAGAGGGAGGACCGAAACCAGCCGCGGGGTTTCGTGGGACATGAGTTCCAGAAAAACGTCGCCTCCAGTTTTTTTTTTTTGTTGGCACCGTGGGTTCTTCTTCTTCTTCTTCTTTGCAACCCGCAACCCGCCTTCCACGACCCACGACCGCTCCCCGCTCGTAGCAACTACCCCTATCTGTCCAGCTCGATGCCGAATCCCCTCGTTCAGCTGCTTCGGTTCGCCCGGTCGGGTCGCGGTGCCGTTGAGTCCGCACCCGTTCACCCACGACGAGTTGGGGGGGGGGGGGTTCTGGCAGTGTGGCGAGCGGAAGATGCGTCAAGCAGAAGATGCCACGCCTACACAACCTGTTTTTGGTTTTATTATGTTTAAATTGTTTTTACTTCTTTCTGTGGGTCTTTCAACCGAATCACTCAACAACAATTCACACCACCCACCCAGGAAAAAACGGCGAACTCCGATCGTTTTTGGCACATGAGGAACTCAATGCGGCCAAATCGCTTCTCCGCATGACCTGCGATGCGGTCGTGGAGCTTGGGGAAGATCTCTGCGTCTGGGCTGGGACCTTTCGTGTCGGCCACGACTGGGGACAGCCGGGGACGGAGGCGGATCCGTCCGAAGTCTAGGGATTGGCCATCCAGCTGGTCTGACTGACCTCATGTTTTGTACCGTTCTTTTGGTGCTTTTTCCCGGATGTTTGGTCAACTACCCTGACCTGTAGGATCCAAGGTCTTGATTTTTGGTCGAATTCAGGGGGATGGAAGGTTGAGGGAGAGGAGGTGAAGAGCTAAACACCTCCACAGACACGCTGGAACTTGGGGTAGCACACAACACTTAATGTGTGTCTGAGCGAGACGTAAGCTCTCATCTTCCATCTCAAGCGAAAGACAAAAGCTCCAGAAACTGGTGGTTCTCGTGCTCTTTTTCTGCATCGTAATAGTCTTCACCTGTCGTCCTTCGGTGTCTTCGATCTTCATCTGCCCCGAACGTGGTGCGCGTCGCCTTCCGCACCGCTCCGAGCTTCCCCGGCCGAGGTCTCACCGAGGACAGCCCCGAGTTGAGCATTCTCCTGTTGAGGGGTGCGGGGTCAGGGACACTGAAGGGGGTGCCCATCATTGATCTCATGGCCTCGGGAGAGGCGGAGCGAGTCACTGAGCTTCTCTCAAGCTCTGCTGCATTAGATGCACCCGTGGACGGCACCCCACAGCCCTATGTGGCCAATGTCTTCAATACTCAGTTGCAAGACAGCTGCGGCAGCAAATTCAGCACAGAAGTCTTTCATGTGCGCTACAAGAAGCTCGGATTGGCCATGCCAGGTGCTTTGGGGATCTGGGTAGCTGCCATACCCTGCTTGGGAAGAGGATTGTCCTCTACAAACAAGGCGTTTCCACTTCCATGTTAAAAAGAGATAATGAACATATGGTACTGTAATCACTTGAGATTCATGAGCACTCGGCACCTTTTCGAGGCTGTTTGGATGCTTTTCATCAGACTAGTGAAGAGCCCAAGAAGAGTACCGGCGCTTTGTTGGTCTTGAAGCTACCGGTATGATGGGCGAGCTTGAAAAAAGCTAAGAACCCAGGGGATACAGAACTCCAGTCGTTTCAACTGTGGTCCTGTGAGAGAAGCTCTGGCTCTAATCGAGATTCAGTTCCAATCTTTCTCAGCCAGCAGTTGCAAGGTGGATGAATCCTTATTTTATACAAGTCTATACGCTAGCAATGCTCTCAGACATAGCACCAGAATCTTTTATTGACCCATTTTTTCCGTATGCAGCAACCGTCCTAAGCAACAATGCCAAAAATTCTACCTCAGACCACGTGTTGCCGGCCCTCAGGAAGCTGGATGGCGACTGTGGGCACCTCATCGGCCTCCGCGACTTCACCGACCAGGGCGCCTTAGCCACGCGCGGCGGCGCCTCGCCGAGCCCCAGCGCCTCGGCGGCGGCATCGCCCGCGGTGTCGCTGCAGCCGGACGCGGCGGCGTCCAGTCGAATGGCAGCGGAGGAGATTCTGAGGCTGCCCGGGCCGCCGCAGGTGCCGCAGGTGCCGCAGCCAGTGCCGCAGCCGGTGCCGCAGCAGGTGCCGCAAGCCGGTGCCTTTGATGCGGGGAGCGGTGGGAAACAGCGGGGATCCTAAGAATTTTCGAATCATGGTTTTCTCAGGTAAGTTAAGTGGTCAAATTGCTTTGTTCTGAGCTATGGCTTTTGGACAGCCGAAGAACTGGATGAAGTCCGGAAAGTCTCCCAGCCGCGGTGTGGACTCTGTCTGTGAGCTCCGCCGCATGGCTTCACGCGTGTCGCACCGTGTCGGCCGCGTGATGCTTTTCGCGCTTTTGCTTTAAGGCGCGGCCGCTGAAGGGGCGAGGGCCCTGAGGGTCACGCTTTCTTTTGGCTTGGGGGGTAACTCCAAGGCTGGTTTAGTCCTGCATAACGTGTCTTTGGGGAGCCAGTTTTAGATGCCAACGTAGAACAAATTACACCAGCATAGACCCAGATAGGTAGGCAGAATCCCACGACCTGTTGACATGCGACTGGCTGGATCGAGAATGTACGCCGCCTGCACAGCCAGCTTATGGCACCTCCACAGCGCGCACAACCAGCTGACACCAGCACCGGTGCGCTTTGCCAGCTGACAACACCGGCAGCGGCACCAGCGCCCGACCAGCGCCGCCGCCGGTCTTAAACGCGCGCTCAGCCAGCTCACAGCACCAGCACCGAGGACCACAACACCAGCACCAGCACCGACACCCTTTCGAAAGCGCGCGCAGCCAGCTCAGTCTTATTTGCAGTAAGAGCCCCATAGCTATCCCCACTTGGGGAACAACGCTGCGCACAAAAGTATACGCACAAGCGGCAAAGCCCGTATAGGCTTCACCCGCCCAAGGCCAAGCAGTATCCAGCACGACTATTGTGTGTGTAGCATGCTGAAACATGCTGAAACAATGGTCGGTTGAGAGCCTGACGCATAGAACATTATACGTAAGTACAAATCGTACAAGAGTATGCGCGCAAACAGCACAGCCCTTGACACAGCTGTCGGCCAAAACAGAACCTGAAGAGTGTAAATACCCCACAGCGCTAACAGACAAAGAACGCTCAAGCGACAACACCGTATGATGTTGCGTGCATAAGTTCACGCGGCCCATGACTGCCGGCACTTCACTGTCAGAAGCGGCGGTTGGCCGCCCTTCACTGCTACAAGCGGCGGCTTGTCACCCTTCACTGTCAGAAGCGGCGGTTGTTGTCACTTCACTGTCAGAAGCGGGCACCAGCACCCAGCACCGGTACCCTCTCCACCATGCACACTGCCAGCTCACAGCACCAGCGCCAGCACCGGCACCCGGCACCCAGCACCCAGCACTAGCACCCGGTCTCCACCACGCGCACAGCCAGCTCACAGCACCAGCACCAGCACCGACACGTGGAGACACGTGCGCAGCCAGCTCACAGCACCGGCAACCTGTTTCGAAAGAGCGCGCACAGGCAGCTCATTGTTGTTTGAAGTGTAGAACCCCATAGCCATAGCTTCGCTATCTGGGAAAATAGATGAACAAATGAGTCCTGCCTAGAGCAGGCTTGAACTCCCTTTCTCTCTTTGACATGTCCACTGAAATTAGGATCGCCACTTTAGTGCATCGAGCACCTCTAGCCAAGTGCTGTAGCCCACACTTAGTGCTGAGGAGCCGGAGAAACATTGACCTTTCTAACAGCTCATTCGACAGACTGGGGATGAATTCGCAGCCACAACTGTCAGCATGCGCGTTCTCTTTTTCTCACTTGTAAGAGTGAACAGCAGGTGAAGTTGTAACAGGAGGTGAACGTGAAAAACAAAGAAAGGCGTGATGAACTCTCAGGTGAAGCAGCCACCAGCGCCAGCTCCGGAAGTGACTCACAGAACTTGATGCTGCTCGAACTGGACATGGAGCCTGGGCCCAGCGAGCGGAGACGTCGAGTGGACGTCGTTTCGGCCCTCGGGCCGGTCCGAGTCGAGCGCGTCCAGTTACGGCGTTTCGGGGGGGGTGAGGCGTTCAAACCACACCGAGGCCATGAGAACTAGATAGTCAATTCAATTCTTAATGTACTATTATTTTTTTAGAACTGATTGGTTTTTTGATTTTGGAACGAATCCGTCAGCTCACCCTGGTCCCAGGAATCGCTTCCGTCCGCTTTTCCATCGCCGTGCGGCGCGTGTCTCCGGGCACGTTTCTCCGGGCGCGTTGTCGGGTTGTTCACCAGACCGGGCGACATCGCCCCCGTTCGACCGCCGCCTCGGCGACCGACCGAGCTGGGAACGCCAAGTCGAGGGGCGGCGGCATGTCCCTTTTTTCATGAAGAACCCTAGGGTTCCTGGCCATTTTTTTTGGGGTGGGTGCCAGGGGGGGGTCTAACCGATGTCCGGCAGTTCGGAGTTCGGCTGTTCACACTAAGGAGACGATGATCTTCAGCGCGGCATCGTGTGGTTTGGGTTCCTCGGCGTGAAGAACTCCAGTTTCAGCGGCCACCCGAGATTGGGCGCGTGAAGTTGCCGATGGTGTTTGCACGACGGTTTGGAGTGAATAGACGATATCAAACGATATTCTAAACGATCATTTTATCGGTTCACATGTAAATCATAAGTGTCGTGCGGAGTTTGCTTCAATTGAACGAGAAAAACACGGGTGAGGTGTGTGATTCAACTTTCGATTGCGTATGGCCGATTGTTGGGGACATGTGCACCACAACCCTTCGCAGTGCAATGCCCTTCCTTTGCAGCTTGGTCCCTGACACGACCCCTTGTGGTTTCTGACCTAAAGACAGAGAAGCTGCTGCCTCTCCCGCCGAAGGTCTCATCGGTTCACCGCGCTGAACGGAAAAAGAGTTCCTTTCTGAGGGCCTTCATTGGCAAAGCTTCTTGTTACTAGAAGCCAGATTGCTCCGTTCGTAGCAAGGCCAGGAGCCCCGCCTCGTAGCTTCTTGTTGATTCAATGCGCCGCCGTCATCGGTTGCTTTTCCATCCATCGAACATGCCTGGTGCCCAGTCGCTGGCGTCACTCGAGACCGTCGGATCCACCGTATAACGGCGGTGGCGACGGTGGATTCGTTTGAGGTTTCATGGCTGGAAGGAGCCTTCGGGAGGCCAGCAACGAGGAAGGCATTGATTTGTTGACGCAGACGGCGAGTCAAGTCCTGTCACTCGAGAGAAAGGGCCTTCTGACGGCGCATTTCTTTCCCTTTGGGCCTCTTGAAGTGAACTCACGGAGTGGCCGGGAGTGGGTGAAGTGAAGACCAAAGATCCCATTTGGCCATTTAGCCTTCCTCACCAGTGCTGTTTAGTACGACATGTGCTGCACCACCCTGGCAGGATGGTTCTTGGATGGAAAACCCATGGGGTTTTGGGGGGTGCAAGCCAAAAGCCCAACTGGGTGGTAGTGTATGTTACTTTACTACTGGTATTGTGTTTGGGATGGGTTCACCAGTGGACTGGGTCCCCTTTTTGGGATTCCCATCTGTGTGAGTGAACAGATCCGGGCCACCGTGTGTTTCGATGATCCGTTCGATCGAAAGAAGGGGATGAGCGGGTAGATTGTGTGCATGAGAACTCGATGCTGAGTTGTCTTTTGGCGTCGCACGACCCACCCCATCCGATGGGTTTAGTTGTCTTATAGCCGAAGCAAGACTTCCAAGCTGCGGAATTCGATCAACATGGTCCATGTTGAATCAGAAAGACGAACTATAGGTCGCATGATGCACGCAGCATGGTTCACCGCGCCCGTGTCTCCCAAGACAGAAGTTTCCTTCCCAGGAATTTGGAGTTGAGATGGGGGACATCTATCTTGCACCGGAGCTTGATTCACGGTACCATGGAGATCTTGCGCAGCACTTCGGGTGGTCTTCGACTCGTGCTGTGCTTTTCCTGGCCGAGCGGATGCTTGGTTTAGTGGAAGAGAACCGGCGCTGGGCTGTGTGCTCACACTGATGGGTGCAACTCGGGGAAAGAGAGAAGTTTAGCAGTTTAGCCCTCAAAAGAGAATCTTTTTGGATTCAGCCACCCTCTTTCCTTAAGAGTCCGCCAGGGCAGCGAATTTCTCTGCAGCTGGGCCTTCTTCGCAGTGCATCGAAGTAAACAAGTGGTGTAAGCAGGAGCTTAAGAAGGTCATGAGACTGGGGGCACAGTTACATCTTCGGGTAGAGTTACATGCTCCTTTAGGGACAATGGCATCGCTACTAGGCGGGGCTCCTGGCATCGCGAACCGAACGGGGTCGGATGGCCGGCCTCGAACCGGCGGTTCGATCCACTTCGACTGCTCGAACCGGTCTGGACTCGGGTCGTTTTGGCCTCGGAAAGGAAGATCGCCGAAACAGACCCAACCCTATCAGGACCCATCAAAGGTTCTGGGACAGGTTTCTATTTTAATTTTATTGTTACTACTAGTAAGGCACTTGTTCCTAGTAGCGATGCACTTGTTCCTAGAGATAGAAGTGACAGAGGCGCCAGAGTTCTTCTTCGCGCCAGAGGTGCCCTCCCCTTCGCCGAGGCCCGCGAGCGATCCGCCGCTCCACCCGCGAGTCCCGCGAGGGGTCGCCCCGCCACCGGGAGTCCCGCGACGGACGGGACGAGCGCCGGGGGCACGGCTTCAACCGGCAGCGCTTGCCGACGGGACGTACAGGTACCGCGGCGACGGGAGTGGGGCATTCCTCGCTGTAGGACGAAGGACGTGGCGGCGTTCCATCCGATGGCATAGGGTTGTGATCTGGCGTGGCGCATGGCGCATACGTTCTTTTTCTTTATATCTTTATGAAGGCTTTTGAGATTGCATTCAGGGGATGTTTCAATCTCAGTTGCCCTCTGCTTAGGGGCAGAGGATCTTAGTATTCACGTGGCTTCCCGATCTGAGAGGCATGAAGATGTTTCCTTTTTTCGACTCCGCTTCGCGCTTCTCCTCCGGGAATTCGGATGAGAAGGGCAGCGATGGTTTCACCACGGATTCGAGGTTGGATGATGTGAATGTCTAAGGATCATGTCTTCCAAAAAATGGACGAACCATGGATGGATCATCTAAGATCATCATCACCTTGGATTTTCCACTTGGTTCTTTCGCCTGTTCGACTCACGCAGGCCCACAGATTTCTGGCTTTGACCCAGAGAACTCTGAAAAGGCACACGCAGCCAAAGCCGTAAAGAAACTGAACCAATTAGTGATTGCTATCCTACAAACCATGCTAGAGATGCAAGCTCACGCCTGTCAAGGCTTTTCTTGGGCTCCCTGAAGCTCTCCTAACACTTGTTAGACTCATTGGCAGCCTAATGGAACATTTCCAATGCCGCACGAGAGAAAGTCTGTTCCTGAAATCACCTTCCCAGTTCAAGAGAATAAGCGGCATAAGTCTATGCTACCTGACAGCTGCACTAATTAGGTGACTTTCCGTAGGCTATTAGGTAACAAGAAGCTACTAGTAGCAAGGCACCTTACTACTAGTAACAAGAAGCTACCCCTTCGGCAATTCTCCCATCTTTCACCGGGTCCAAAAAACACCTTCTTCCCATCCGCAGTCCGCTGGTCCCGCGTACGCGCGGTGCTGGAGACGTGCGCTGTCACCGCGCTCGTCGCCATGTTCCACTTCCATTCGTCGCCAGGAGGCGAAATATGCTCCGCTGAGTTCGGGGCAGTTTGGCGGCGGTTCGGTGGCGATTGAGGTGATGCGTGTGGACTGCGAGGGCGCTGAGTATGAGATCCTGAGGTGGGGGAGAGATGTCGAACGGGCCCAAGGAATCGTTTTTACGGCGAGCACATCTGCTTCTTTGATGTTCTTTGATCTTCTTGATGCCTGCCTTTTGCGTTTAGAAAAAGACACCCACCTGAAAAAAAACGAATCGCTTTGGCCTCACACTGGTTCTCTGAAAAACGGCGGGTTTCCCACCCGCAAGCCTTCAAAGAGTCTCTGTCTTGGCCCATCCGTGGCGAACTGACCGGAGGGTTTTTTCGAACGGTGGAGAAGGCGGTGGGATCGTCTAAAGATGATAGCAAACATTGTTACTACTAGTAAGGCACTTGTTACTAGTAGCGATGCACTTGTTACTACTAGCTTCTTGTTACTACTAGTAAGGCACTTGTTAC